GTGAAATATATTTTGTCGATAATTAAAAATATCAATTAATTTGTTCCAAACCACTCGCCCCGGACATTTGTTAAATAAATATTAAAATTAGAAATTATTCCTTCAATAAACGTTCGACCGCACGCCCGGTCGTTGGGGCCATTTGTTTACCGTATTTCGAACGACTGCGACGAAGAGCCTCTTCTTCTTTAAAAAAACGTTCGTCATATATTTCTTCTTGGAACTTAAATTTTTAAGAGTCCGTAAGAATCCGTAAGTAGAAATAAAAAGAGAGAGAAGTCGCGGGATAAACACAAGTGTCGGACGCGTTTTCTCGGAGATATATTTATTTTAATCAAATACGCCGGCGACGTTACGAAACTACCGTGCATTAAGGCGTAATACGCCGATGTAAGTGCTGCGCGTGAAAGAGATTCGCGAGAGCATTAATAATAATGACGAAAAGGCGGTGCTGATGAGTCGGTTGATGGGCCAATTTGCATGAACCTCTTAGCTACCGCACTTCTATTCATGCCAGAAGGCAGAAAGTGGATATCCCCCGTAATGGACGTGCCGCTTCCTCCCAGAGGAAGAAATAGAGAAAGAGAGAGAGAGAGAGAGAGAGAGAGAGAGAGAGATCCTTTAAGCAGAGAGAACCTCCTCGGGCAGGTGAACGATCTCCATAGGAAATAAACGATCGCGATTCTCCGCGACCGAGCGTTTCGCGTTCGAAAAAAAAAAAGAAAAAAAAAAAAAGAAACAAATTTCCACGACCGGCAAAAGCTGGAATTGATCGCGAAATGTTCTCTCCTCTCCGAGAGGTCACGGGAAATTCTCCGCGATCCGGAGTTTAATCACGGCGCGCGCATTTCCGCAACCGTGGAGCGAAGTACGTGTGCGAGCGATGCTACAACGCACGAAGTGTGTGCGTAAAAAAATAAAAATTTCTCATTATTATCGACATCGCCGATGTGCGATGCTAATCGCAGTGGGAAAGAAGCCACGAGGATCGCTCGCTCGCGTGCGAATAATAAAAATGACGACTCGGAAACGTAGTACGCGCGCAACGCGTACGTATACTCGAAACAATCCGCGTATATTCTTCGCGCAGCGCGGTGCCGTCCGTTAACGCGGATAATTTTTGTGGCTTGAATTATCGAAGTTTCGAAAAAAAAAAAAAAAAAAAAAAAAAAAAAAAAAAAAAAACATAAACGTCGAGACGCGAGCGAAAAAGACGATAAAAGACTCGCGATTAAGTAGGCGTCGAGCAATTTCCCGGCATTAGCCGATCTCCCGTGCGCTCTCCTGTGCTTATTACACGGCTGTCACGTGTAAAACGCAATACACGCTCGCGCACGTTCCCTTTCTTCCCGCTGGACGTTCTCCGGCTTTTCCCCGATCCCCGTTGTCGTTTTTTTTTTGTTTCGCTTCTCCTGTTGCGCGCGCGCGCGATTGCGTAGGCGAGTTATATTCTCGATAATCGGCATCGCGCGGCGTTTCTTTGACGAAAAAGAAACAAAAAACAAAAAACAAAAATCGCAATCGCGTCTTCCTGGATGTGTGGAAGAGGATTGGATGCGAGAGATAAATTGCGCCGCGCGAAGCACAGGTCGTGACACGCAAAACACTTCAGACGGATCTGATGAGATCTGCTTCGCGCGCGCAGAAACGCTTATGGTTCATGCGCGCGCGCGCGTACGTGCGTGCCGATGATCATCATCGATCGTCGGAAGCCGTGGATGTGTACACACGTAATGGATACACCTCGGAAGGATCGGCACCGTGAAATTGCACGCGAAACGTACGTATTTGCGTACATAAGATCGATTCTTATTATCGCACAGATCCGATACTTTGAATAATAATAACAATCATAACAACAACAATAGATTTTTGTTAGACGCAATTAAATGCGAAAATTTTTTAACACAAGAAACAAAGAAAATGCGTTTTGATTGACAAAGCGAATTAACTGACTACGGGATATTTCGCGGTCAGTGATTTGACGTAATCTCGCAAAAAAAATATCTAATTTTTTTTTCTAATCCACGAGGACGCGCAAAAACGCGGGGAAACGTCAGTGTGACTTTCGCTACGAGGAATCGATTCGAGCAATAACGATCGAAACACCGCGGGTTACGACGGTAACCGGCCTGTTACATAACGCGCCGCGTATTGGATTAATTGAGAATGGGACCCCGGTGACCTCATCTCTGCGAGAAATGAGCATCTGGCACACGGTGCACAGGCCGACTGACCTTCGTAATGATTCTCGCGATTTGTCTGCAATTGAAGCGCGGCGGCGAGTCGATTCACATCGGGGGTCGTTGGCTTTGCGCTTCGCGAAGCGCTCTATGTGTGTCCACGCGGCGTTTCTTCTGCAGACGCTAAAAATAGCGTGTAAAAAAAAAAAACAAAAAAAATGCAAAACCGTGAAGTACGGGGATGGTCGACGGGATACGCGACGAGAGACAGACAGAAGAAAGAAACGAGAAACCGAGCGCGCTCGGAGAGAGAGAGCGTTTGGTCCTGTTTGGCGAGGAGCCTGTGTGCGAAGCCTCGCGTATCGCGTGACAGTGTCCTGCTATTGGCGCGTGGTTGGTATGCGGCAGGAAAAAGACCGCGGCCAGGATTGTAACCGTAGCCACCGGGACCCGGTTCCCCGCCCACGTTCCGCTGTAATAATGCCGCGGTCGGGATATATTTCCCCCCCCGCCTCGCCGGTTGCTAGGTGGGTGTAAAACGTAAAGTCGACGATCCGACCCGCGTCTCTCCCGGAGCTGGATCTCTTCTTCTTCTTCTTCTTCTTCTTCTCTCTCTCTCTCTCTCTCTTCTCTCTCTCTTTCTCTCTCCGGGCCGATGCACCGCAGATTGCGAGTATCCTTGCTGAGGTCGAACGCTGAGAGGCTGCGCCGAAGGTCGTTGCCTGCCCGATATACCCGGTGCTCATCTAGGAATTTGCAGCATCAGCGTTCGCTCGCCTCTTCTCGTCCGTACTCTCGATCGTACATTCTCGCGAGACGATACGCGCGCGACGAGAATACTCTGATTTACACTTAAAGCGCTTCGAGATCTTCTTGTTCTTCTTCTTCTTCTTCTTCTTCTTTTCCCTCTTCGGCCTTGAGATTTAATTCAGTATCTTGTTAACGCAGCGTGTACAGTCTCGCTCGCGCAGCGAATTATTTAGCGCAGCAAAAGGCTGACTTCTGAGTTGAAGAAGTAGAATTGCAGCTTTCGAGGGGAGGGGGGTTGGGATGGGAAATGTCATTTAAAGACTCGTGTTTCTTTTCCGGTTGATTAAAATTTTTTAACTTTTTCTTAACAAACCTCTCTCTCTCTCTTGTTCTTTTAATTTTCTATTTTTATACAGACTATAATTTTTATTAATGTGCGACAACACGTAATGATTCGAACGATTGTAACACGGGATTAATGTAGAGAAATTTCATCGCAAGGTTAAGCACGCGCGAGCATGCTATCGACGCAATAATTTTGCATGCAAATTTGTAACACGGGCGATATACACACGCGCGCTCCGTTCCGCGTGTATAATAACGGCGAATTACAAGCGGTATATTACTACTACAGCCACGGCGTGTAATGGACCTCTGGTGTAATATCTCGCGCGCGATCGAGAAATCGTTTGAGTTTTATCGTACCGTCGAATTACTCCCGAATAGAGCGGATCCACCTCTCCTTTTCAAGAGGTAACCCTACGCCCGGCCTCCCTCGCGTCCTCCTCCTCCGGAGGAGGAGGACGCGCGATCATCGTCCCCGAGAACGATTATTATCCTGATTACATTCATTGTGTCCGTCGGAAATGGCGGGGAGTCGTTTGATTACCGTATTACCGCCTTCATTAGCGATCATAGTCGACACTAATGACCGGTCGTCTGGCGGCGGCGGCGGCGGCGGCTCCACTGAAATCGGCGATCGGCGGATCTCCGGGAACTGCTTTAAAATCGTATCTACCTGCGGTCGCGACGGAACGATACGAGGAAACGATTAGAGAGAGACTAAATTAGTAATCGACGATTTTGTTTGAATAAAGGCGCCCTGGTAGTAAGTCATTTGAGGAGAGGTGCAACAGTCATTACTTCCGAAGGTGAAGTAATGATTGGCTCTACGTCTCGAGGGAAACGCCTAATGAGCACCTCGAAGTGAAGTAATTGCGTGATCGATATCGGAAGTTTTTTTTCGAGTCATGCGATACATAGAAGTAAAAACGGTTTGCCGCTGTCGCGATAAAAAAAAAAAAAAAAAAAACGAGGCGACTTTTCTCACGACGATCTCGAGAAGATGATCGGGAAAATTGCAACTTCTCTCTCGGGATTTCTCGCAGATTTTTGAGAAAGAAAGCGCGATCGTTATTCGCAAGACAGAGAGAGTGAGAGAGAGAGAGAGAGAAAAAGAGAACGGCATGTGAATGTAAATTACGTGTAGCTATTTCCTTTCTGGGGTATCTCGGGCGCGAGACGGAATCGAAGCGGTGTGTGCGGAGAGAAAGAGCGCAGCAGAAAACGTTCCTTCGCGCGCAGTGGTCCGGTTTTTGCCGGCGGGATGCAAGGACAGACAACGACGACGACGACGACGACGGTTTGTTGTGTGCCGCAACATTGAAAGTGGAGAAACGCGCGCGCGATCACTTTATACTCCCTGAAAACGACAGTAAAATACTCTCCCCGCGAGGAGAAGGGGGATGTATTGCGACACCCGCGCGCGGCACCGAAACACGGATACGCAACGGCCGGCCAGCAAACAATGGCCGGTGGTTCTCTCACCTCGCTATTTCAGCCGAACGTTTACGGTCTTTGTTTCGCGAGTTTGTTTTTTTTTTTTTTCCTAGCCTCCACATCAGACCGGAATCCGTTCCGTTATAGATGAAGAAAATAAATTGAATTAACCGTTGGGGTAAAACAAATGGAGATGGGAAGAGATAGAAATTACTTCCTATAGGATGTGTTTTTGTTGCGCGCGTCGTCGTTCGAATTCCGAAACTAACCGAGGCTTTTGTTTCGCAGGACGACGGTGGTATCGAGTATTTCAACACCATAGTGGTCCAGCCGCATCTGAAGCTGGTCACGAATCAGGGTAGAGGCTTCCACGTGAGATGTAGGTACCAGACGCGTGACAAAGTCGTAACGAACGATCAGACCCACGTGTCCATGCTGCAATCTCTGCCGTTACAGGTAATTAAATTTCCTTTCGACGTGAAAGAGAGAGAGAGAGAGAGAGATCCGGAAAAAATTTGCATCAGGTTTCTCACGGTTCGATCTAAATGTTTAATACATGTCGCGCGTGTTGCAATAAAATTTATTTCCCAATCGTGTTATATTAAAACCAGTTCTCCGAACGAAACGAATTTTTTACGAAGAACGTAAAAGAGAAGAATCACCTTTTGAATTGTGAAAATTGTTGATCGCAGGCGACCGCGCCGATGCCCGGATGCACGATGAAGATTTTCAGCGGCGATCCGACGCAGCATCACGTGGCGGAGAACGTGAAGATCGGCGATCCGTTGACCCTGGTGATCAGCATCGACAAACAAGAGATGTTCGGTCTGAAGATCTCCGATTGTTTGGTGCGCGACGGTCTCGGATGGGGCGAGCAGCGGCTCATAAACGACGAGGGGTAAGCTATAGAGTTTACGTAAGAGAAAAAAAAGAATCTTGTACAAAAAATAAAAAAGAAAGATTGGGAAAAAAAAGAGGAAATTTTATAAAAATACGCGAACGCGTGTGGTTCGATTGGAAATTTATTCGTTCGAGATAAATGAAAATTGTGTGTTGCGCGTTTGTTCGCAGTTGTCCGGTCGACGGCGAGATCATGGGACAGTTCACGTACAGCGAGGACAAAACGGAGGCCAGGGTGAACTTCCAGGCGCACAAGTTTCCGTATACGGCGAGCGTGTATTATCAGTGCAACGTTAGGCTGTGCGTCAAGTATGGCGGAGGATGCAGTAATACGGTACCGCTGTCATTTATAATATATATAAGCGTCAGCTAGCCTGACTAATGATTCCGTGAAGACTATTATAAGAGTACATGTTTATCTCATCTTTTAACGATTTCGCGCTGTAAACGCGTATCGCTCGAAAATAAATGCTCTGACCTCACTCAATTATCAGATTTGAACTTGCTCGGCAATATCACACGATGTTAGCTGATGTTTGATCATGAATTCGAGAATTGTATCTCAGAGAGAGAGAATTTTTTTGTTGAGGGAAACGATCTCTTTCTTCTCTTTTCGCAGCCGCCATTGTGCAATTCGATAGCCAGACGGCGCAGAGACACCGTCACCGACGTAACGAGGAGCGTCGAAGGTCTGGACGGCACCCCGGCCACCATCGAAGTTTACAGCGGTTTGTACGTCAACGAGGCCTCGGACGTGAGTTCCAAGGATTTTACCGACGACGTCTTCAGGGAAAGAGTGAGTTGAGGAACTGAGTTATTTCCGCGAAACAACTTATCGCCGATGGAGACGGAAGCGAAATATTTTTCCCTCGTTCCCGATTATGTTTCAGGCTATCGACGATCCGAATATCATTTGCATATCGCAAAGGAGCTTCGCTATCGGAATCGCCATTGCCGGTCTCGTGCTCATGCTGGCCGTGGTGGCTGCCATTTTGGTGCTGCTCGTCAAGAGACGACACAAGAGCGTTTCCACGACGGGATCGTCCATTTACAGCGGACCGTATACGAACACTGCCTATAGCCACAGTAGCTAAAGTCTATCTCGCGTATCTGCCGCGAGCGAGATCGATCATTTTAGACTCGAGCTTCCGGCCTCGGAGCCTCGTGCTTCCTCGCGGCGCGATCGCGTGTCTCCTCTGAACGAACTCAGAATCCACGCGAAAAAATTAATTAAACTAGTTTTGTTTTCTGTGACGCAAGGTCAATCCGAGAGCCACGATCTGCGAAGTCACCGCAACGCGGCGAAGCGAAACGAACGAAACTTCGACACTTTTTTTTGCTCAACTGCTGCCGCGATGCTACCGCTTAAATTCGATGTTTCGCAGAATTGTTTCCCTCAGCTAGCAGAGAGAGAGAGAGAGAGAGCGGTGCGCTTCGAAGGTAATTCGACGACAATTTTGACGATGGTCGAGTCCTAAATATATCGAATTTTTCCTTGTCTCCTTTCTTTTGAAACGCTTTTCCCCCCGTCCTCCGTCCCTTCGTCTCGGAACATTAGCTTCCACTGCTGCTTGAACCATCGTGTCAGAAATAAAAAAACATCGTACTTGGGATCAACGACTGTTCCGTCCGCGTAACGAACGAACTGCAAACCTTAGCGAAACCTAGTTCCGAACGTTTTTTTTTTTTTTTTAAACAAATCGATATACGACTCGCTCCGCGTCGAGAAAGTTTAGCTAATAAAAGTTTACGCGCGCGCGTTTCTTTTATAATATTAAAACTCTTATTTACGTAATAATATATATACATATATATACATACTGTACTGTACAACTAGTCCGGTATACGCTGTCCTAACCAAGTACTTATCATACTCGCGAAAGCACTGCCCCCCAGTCGCGATTTTATCTCATTAATTTAACCGAATTTTGTTCGCGTGTGTGTTCTCATATTCTCTAGCTAGGTTTAAGTTTAATTCAACGCTATACACGTAAAAACTCTCTCTGTTAAACAAAAAACAAAAAAAAACTCAATCAAATACTCCAGTGATATTAGCGTGTCACTTTTTTTCAGGTTTTTCTTTTGCAATTGTTAATGTTTCTGCGTGTTTTTTTTTTGCTTGTTGTTCTGAAAAAAAAAACTACGGTCGTCAGTTTTTCCCCCCACGCAAGATTTTAGCTCTCGCCTGGCGGATATCCATCCGCCACCAGCGAGGCGATCTGCCGTCCGATTGATAAGACATACATAGGTGTGTTGGTTTATATATAGCTTCCGTTGAGAATGCGTGCAAATGGGTCGTTGTCATCGTAGATGTAAAAATATTTAATTTCGTCACGTAGCGTGTTTACTAGAAAAAACAAAAAAAAAAACAAAAAAAAAAATCAAAGCCTGAAAAATTGGCTCGCAAAGACCTGCTGCGAATAAATAGATTGTTAATCTCTACGATGCGATATGCGACTCGAATAAATGCGACGTGTGCGAGCGTTCAGATAGTAACCTATTATATAACGTAAACGTTAATTATAAAACGTTAATTAGTTTATTTGAAAACGAGGTGCTGCTTCAATGTCGATATTCCGAAACGAAGAGGAGGAAACAGGAGAACTTTGTTAAAATATCCGATTTCGAGAGAAACTTGTTCTAATCTCATCGTTACGATCTATTGCGATAATTTAATTAGCGATTAGAAAACAAATGTGCGAACGATCATAGAGGGAAGAGCGTTGAGGATATCGACATTATGTCAGCTTGGAGAGAGAGAGGGAAAGAGAGCGCGTTTATAGATTTTTAAATGTGACGAAGACAAGAGCAAATTACTGCCAGCGCAGTCGCGTAACTGGGTCCAACGTGGTGGTGGGTATATGGCATAAAAACAAACAAACAAAAAAAAAAATTTGTTATATTTAGAGAGAAATCAACACGCGTAACGTAACTCGTTAACTCATCAAGCGCTAATACGCTAGACCGCTTCCCGCGCAAGGTGCGGAATAACGTGGTGTTAGATTGCGGAAACGATAATGTGTGCGACAGTCGTTCAGAATGGATCCTCGCGCGCCTCGTGAAACGCAACACTTAGGACGCCGGTTTAAAAGGTTGTTCATCCCTACGCCCACAACGCGGACATCACAACTTTTCAAGACACAGAGAAATGCAAAATTATCCGTCGTGCAAACTTCAACGGATACTAGATAAGTAATTTATTTATAAGCTCACGCGAAGCTTTTGTTTTTCACAAAAAGTGAAAAATCGCGTTCTAGTGTTAAATCCCCCGCCCCCTCCCCTTCGTATGAAAGGTGCAATATAAACTTCGAAGCGTTCTGAGAGGATCCGTTGGAATTTCTGTCAAGGGTTGGAAATGCTCGGCGAACGGATCGCGCGTGATCTCTTGCCGCGCTTGTGGCACTGGTTCATAGTGACCATTGGGGATGAAAATGCTTGTATAGATCTTTTTTTTTTTTTTTTTTCTTAAGGTGACGCAAGTCATCCGCGACGCTTCCCGCAATGTTCCTCTGGACCCTTGTCCAAAAGAATCTACAACGAAACTGTGTAAATAACAAAAACTCAATAAAAATTCTGGTAACCGTAAAACAAAACGTTGTTGTTGTCCAGTGTCTCTTCCTTCGTTCCAGGTAATCTTCAGAGAGTCTCTTCCGTTTCTTCCGTTGAATTGGTAAGTTGGATTAGTAGAATCAGGTTTTAAGAGGAAGTGTGTCTTTGATCGGTGAGAAATAATCGACGAGACAAATTATCAAACGAGAGTGTTTCCTTTTTTATTGAATTATATATAATTCGTTTTTGGAAAATATGATATAATATATATATAATATATATGTATATAATATAACAAGAAATATAATTTTATAGACGACATGACTTCCCTATATCAAATTTGTTTTTTTTTTTTGTTTTTTGTTTTTTTTCACCTATATGATGTGCATTTTTTGGATGAGAATAATACAACTCTTTTTTTTTTCATATTAACGCCAAAGAATTGTCACTTGCTTCGCTTTCTCTTTGTCATCGCTCTCGCAGTTACAATTTTATACACAGATAATTCAGGTTGTCCATCGTTTTTCGTCAATCTCGCTCTTCTCCGTTCTTGAACTCCTCTACACTTTTTCCCTTGTTTTTTCCCTTATTTTATTCTCAACTAAAATTAACGCAGTGCTGCCGAATACATTTTAAGATACGTTCACTCGTTTTCAGATTTCTTTTATTTACAATTTTCCTCTTTCTTTCTCTCTCTCTCTCTCTCTCTCTCTCTCTCTTTTCCTTTAACTTTCGCACATAGAGATATTATACATTATCATATTACATTATTATTTTCTTTTGAAAAAACATATGTACACGCGTCACAAACAAAACGTATAAGTCATTATTTTCTGTTTGTATCACATTAACAAAATAATAATAGTAATAATAATACGTTGCCTAAGCATGGAGAGACACAGCCATCGATTTAGGACATTTTAAGCGTATTCGCTCGGCGATTCTCACGCTCTCTTTTCTCCGTCCGTCCCGCGACGGACACACGAGCGAACACTCTGTGCGAAGATCGTGCGTTTTTTTTTTTTCAGCGCGCAACTTCGCGCGAGCGCGAGCCATCGCCCAATTGTAAAATTCTATTCGCTCATGTTGTTCCAAAACACATTTTGTCTCTCGTCTTCGGCGATGAGCAGCGAGATTCAACACGATCCTCGCTGTTTATCGCGAGTCGGAAAAAAACATTCTCGCGCCTCCATCGACAAACGAAGAAACAAACAACATTGGCTTCGAGTAATCGGTAACAGAACAACATGTAATTTTTCTTTTTAACTAAGATTACGAATCGTTAAAAACATTCTAACGGTCGAATCAACGAAAAAGGTAAATACACTCGGAGAGAGAGAAAGAGAGAGAGGAGAGAGAGGTGAGAATTCTCACACAATCGATATTACAATAATTTAATAATGTAAATATTATTTGGTTTTTTTCTCTTCACACTTCACTACAATACATCATGTCGTTTTTTTCTTCGCGCGTCTCTTTCCCGTACTATCATCCCCCAAGTTTTTATTGCTCGCCGCTATCGATCATTTTTATATCGCATTACAAAAATATTAGGAAACGAATGAGGCTTGCGAACATTTACCCGTTTCTCTTCCGCCATTCGTATCTATTCTTTAAAATTTGTTTTTTTTTCTTAAAAGCGAGTTTTTACACCCGATCGGTAAACAATCGGGAAGTTGACTGTCTCGGTATCTGCGTTTGTTTGTTTGTTTGTTTTTCGTCGATCTTTAGAATGTACGAAGGAAAAATTACAAAAAATCAGTCGTGAGCGCAATGGTAATGAAAAAAGAAAAACAAACATATTCGTCACACCTGCCGCGCGCGCGTATTCCGCTTTGTCCGACGTTTTTTTTTTTTTTTTTTCATTAAGTAACACAAATTCGAGGTAGAAACGTTGTTCGCGTCGCAAACGCGTTTATTAATCGCGACGCACATTCTTAAACAATAATACTAACAATCAAACCAAGCGTTTCTCATTTGTAAAATCCTAAAAGTCAAATAAATACGAGAACGATAAAAAAAAAAAAAAAAAAAAAACGAATAAATAAATTGACCGGGTGTGAAGTTTCGCGGTTAAATAACAATTCGCGTGTGTGATAACAGCGCGCGATTTCAAACAGGTGTGTCGAACAGGCGTGTGCGGTAGTAAAAGCGCGCGTGTGTAATAACAAAAAACGGAAAGAGAATAACGCACTCGATCGTTCGCTCGTTTTTTTTTTGTTTTTTTTTTTTCACGCGACTCGGGTGACTTTCATTCCAAGTCGGAAGGAGAGAAGCGACAGCCTAACAAGTAACGTCCGTTTCGACATCATTTGTATCACACGTTACATACACACCCGCGCGTATCACACCCCGATCACAAATCTTCTCCTCTTGTCTCCTCTTCTGTCTTCGTCGTGTTCTTTTTTCACCGAGAGAGAAATACATACTAAATCACATAAATCGGTCATCTACAAAATATATGGTGGTGCCGCGAGGTGATGTCGGACGATACTTGGTTGGCGGTTCCGTGGTGTGGTTTCGAGAGCCGATATAAGAGTTCCTTTCGTTTCTTTTTTTTCTCTTTTTGTTCCTTGATGATTATTATTATCTTAGAGAGATGCGTATGAACTGTTTTTTTTTCCTTTTTCTCGTTTAATAGGTACAATTGTTTTTTATTCCTGTTTTCTTCTTCATTTTCATTTAATCACTACGACGACGTTTTTAGGTACAATTAAAATACTATTAATTGTGCGCCCATCTCTTTATAATCGAAATGTTCCGCTACCTATTTTTTTTTTTTTGTTTTTTTTTGTTTTCGCTTAATATCTGTTCAGGTCTCTTTCGTTTCTGTTTTGTTTTGTTTTTTTTTTTTCTCTTTTTTTTGTTTGTTTTTATTTTGTGTGTTCCTTTAAGCCTATAACGAGATTAAAATCTTTATCACACTTTCTCACGAGGAAAAAGTAGTGCGGCCTACTGCCTTTGCGTTTTTTTTTTTTTTTTAGCCGACTAAGAGTATAGTAGTAAGATAAGTTCGCGTCTGCGCGTTTTTTTCTCTTTTTCGCTTTGTTTAAACTCTCATAAAAAGATAGGCACACCAGCTACGTTTCTGAAGTACAATCACCGTAAGCGAAGCTTGGATGGATTCCTCGTGGTTTTTGTATCGCGAAACGCAACGCGGGCACATCCCCGCGCGATCTATCCTATAAATTAACGACGGTTGATCATTTTATTTTTATTTATTTATTTTTTTTACAATTATATCTTACGCGACGACATCTTGCTGTTGAATCCGCGAAGTTCGCACGAGTAAAGAAATATCACACACGCGTATAATTAACATATTTCTATATATCAGTGACGCGAGAGATTTGTGCCCGCGCTGAGTTCGTCTCTATAGTTTTTTTCTTTCTTTTTTTTTTTGTTTTTGTTTTTTCACAGACGGAGACGTAATTTAATTACCATGACCGCGTGTCACCATCACCGCTATTGATGTACGACAATATATATCATCTCGTGATATACATAAATATGCCCCTTCTATTTCGTTGGAACGATGTGTGTGCGAGAAATATCCGTATGTGTGTATGTATGTGTGTATCAGTAAGGACGATTCCGACGTGTGTGAGGACTATGAAGCGTACTTGCAGAGACATTGGAAGACGAATCATAGTGGTATAAAAAATTCGGCTTGCTCCACGCACTCGTGTGAGAGATTTAAAATAAAATAATGATTTTTGTTAAACGAATTTATAAATAACACAAATCGCAGAATAATCGATGCATCATGTGACACTACATGGACGTCGAACGAAACTGTGATAATTGTTTTTTTTTGTACACATAAAAAAAAAACCACAACACTGTAACGCAATGAAGTGTGATATAATATTGCTCCTTGAGAAACAAAAAAAAAAAACAAAAAAAAAAAAAACAATGCGGATATCTTACGGGTTTCAGGCTGTGATGGCTTCACGCTACTTAACTACAGCTCGGAACTAGAGACATAGAGACCGTGTACTGAATACGTTTACACGTTTATATACTTAAACTTATTATCAACGACACTTATCATTACGACACGGTTAATTACGGAAATATTGTTTTTTTTTGTTTTGAGAAAAGAATGTCAACTTGTTAGTAAAATATATTAGTAAATTCACGTTTTTTTTTTCTCCAATATTATAACATTAACGTTTTTTCTTTAAAATGTATCGTTAATATTATTAGCATTGAGACACGTCAATATTATAATATTAGAAATTTGTATATTATCTCTCTTGTTTTATTTTAATTGTGTAAAATAGATACAGCGTATCGTCAAACGCAATCGAAATCTTCAAAAGATCCGAGTGTATAACGTTTCTTCTTCTTTTTTTTGTTTTGTTTTGTACAAATTATATACGCGAATGTTCTGTGTGCGAAGTGTGTATAAAAAATGTTCTTACTTACAATCGGTGAACTTTGTATACTATACCGGAATACTTACTGATACAAAAAAAAGAAGAAAAAAAAAAAGAAAACAGCCAGAGAAGAGTGAGATAGAAAATATATATCCTTATAATTTTCTGTATAATATTAAGATGTGAGAAGAAAATTGATTATCGGGATCAAAATTTACTACAGAAAGAAAACAAGATATACAAAGCAATCTGTCGTCTTCAATTGTGACTTGGTCTTAAAAGTTGGAGCAAGTCGCGGGAGGTATAGTACAGAGAGTTCACAATAGACACACGTGTCAGAGACAAGATAGAAAAAGATTAGATCGAGAGAGAAGTCAGAAAGAGGAAGAAAGGAAGGGGAGGGAGGAGAGAGAGAGAGAGAGAAGCGTAAGAGCTGGCGTCGTTAAAGCGCGATAGTTAATTTTTTTTTTTTCTTCGAGTTGTGGGTGTTGTCACATCGTGAGGTAGCAAACAGCACGTTCAAAAAATAGACTCAAAATAGGCAGCGATGTTTAGTGTGTAACATCTCGTCAAACGATGACGATTTGCAGGCGCGTATCAAAATTAGCAGGTAATAGAAATATTCCTTTCGTGTGAATACATTATTATTACATTAATTAACGTCGAGAAAGTCGCATGTGTATTGTAAACGTACTCAGTATAGTGTTTATTTTATTTTATTTTTTTTTTTTTTGCTTTTTAAATATATTTTCCGTACATTATAGTATTTTATTTAAATTCTCGTGTACGTATTTTCTCTCGACGCGGTCGAAAAAAAAAACCAAAAAATCCTCGCCGTGACGACCGTCGCCTCAGGAAATTCGCATCGCGTTTTGACCTTAACTGGTAAATCTTAGAAGTATCTCACATTCATATAGTTTCTGTAAAACCGCAGTTAAAATATCTTCAAGTATAATATATATATATATATATATATTGTATATATATTATATATACACGGGTAATATGTTATTATAATAGTAGTTAAAATTTTTTTTCAAAGTAACTTTGTTTCTTCGATGCACCACTGACTTTTGCTCGTTTTTTTTTTTCTTTTTTACTCACGTCCTAAAAACGTAACAGGTACGTTTCGTTTTTTTTTTTTTTTTGTTTCGTTCTTCTTCCTTTCGTTCTTTCGCATTGTCATGGTTCAATTCGAATGTTGTTCAGTTGCGAACGAAAGTTTTTTTTTTTTTTGTGTTTCCTTTTTCCCCCGAGCAAAAGAGTTAAATCCCGTCGTTTGCGCGTTGTCCGGAAAAAACAGAAGCTCACGTTACAACATACCAATTTTTCGCGCACTTTTCACTCAGAACATATATATACGCACATACGTGTTCACGCACACATGCATGTGTATATACTTAGGAACTCGGGCGATTCCTATCCGGAGCGTTTTTTTTCCTCTCTCTCGACACTCTTTAATCGAATAATTTAGGATAAAATGAGTTTTTTTTTTGTTTTTTTTTCGTTTTTTTTTTTTTTTTTGTTAAGCGAGAAGAATATATACCGTGTATCTCTCCTGAACACGACGTCGATTGTTGTTGCGGCCGACGACGCAGACGACGTTGCGATTCGCAATTATCAGCGATGTTATTCTACGGGTTGGTTTTCTTTTCTTTCAAAATTGCACCAGTTGATTCCGACGGTTGATCGTCACCTTCACCGTTCCTGAAAATAAACAACGTAACATTTCTGAGAGTGACAGAGAAGCCGCCCCGGCCGCTCCCGTCGACGTGTGTAACGAATTATTCTGATGCAAATAAAAACGGAGACGATACACATCGTTGAAGTAAGGAAACACTAATAGATGCGATTAGTGTTAACGGCAACCCATCAATCGAACAAGAAAACCATGTACAAAAAAAGCAACGTGTATGTTTCGTAAGAAAGTAATAATCCATATATATGTATATATGTATAGCGAAACTGCAGCCGTGTCACAGTCGACGTGAGAGAAAACAACAAGAACAACCTTCGACGTCAACTTCGACAAAGTTTAATTGAACGATATCCGTTTTTTTCTTTACGTCTTATCGTGAGTGCGATAATAAGCATGAAAAAGTACACTGTAAGAGCGTCGTGTGTGTGTGTGTGTGTGTGTGTGTGACAACATCAGAAAGTAGTGTGCAAAAGAAAACACATTTACAGTGTCGGTAAATGACGAATACGAAGAAACGTTCTAGAATTGTTCCCGTTCGATTTTTGTTTTTTTTTTTTGTTTTTTTTCCGAACAGACGGATCCTGATTAACATTTCAACTAGAAACTATTTCCGAGAAAGAGACAAACAAGTTTGATTCCTCGAATAAAACGCGACTGATCGCGAAATCGCGTGTCGCCCCACCGGGGGGGATTCCACTAACCGTGGATCGAACAAAATGTACTCTTTTTATAAAAAAACAAAAGATAATTGAATCGCGACAAACAAGCGGGGACGCATTAGCGGGAACAATTCTGAAAATTTTTTCTTATCGGATTGTTATCCTGTGCGCGGCGTTGCTGCACATAGAAAGCGTACCACGGTGCACAACACACTAAAATATGCACGTGTGCAATGAAAAGATATATTTCCTACTTCTCTCTTGCGAAAATTATCAAAATTGTTTTTTTCGTAAGTACAATTTTGTTTCTTTTGCGTTTTGGAACAATTTGAGATTGCAATTTGGTTGTTTTTTTTTGTTTTCCACAAAACATAAAAGTTACGCAAGTAGGAATAACTTTCCACCCACGTTTCGTTCGCAACAAATTGAAAAAAAACGAACAAGTATATATCAGGAGAAAGATGAGTCATAACACGCACGTGAAAAAAGCCCCTAAGTATTATCGTATACGAGAAAGGCACTGTGTGTATGTGTATGTGTGTGTGTGTAATATTATTTTATTACTTAAGTTCTGTACCTTATATCATACTGTATTCCATAGGTTTCGCTTTTAAAGGGAGATAAGAATGTGTCAAAAACTTTGTGTCATACTTTATTTCTTAAGCAAAACAAAAGCAGAAAGTAACCAAAATCTCAAGCAACGTACTGAGCAAACATCAACATCTTTCTCGCATCTTCTCTCTCTCTTTCTTTCTCTCTCTCCTCTCTCTCTCTCTCTCTCTCTCCCATACACGTTCTCTCTCTCTTTCTCTTTCTCTCTCGCTCTCACTAAAGCATTTTATCAATTTTTCATACCTTCTCTGATGTCTTTGGGCGCGTTCGAAGAGAGCGATGGTATGGAAGGTGCCTGATAAAAATTGGGCCGTGCACCGCTCGGTGGCAAAGACGCTACCTTGGACCTGAATGAGTCGCACATAAAAGTGCCAGATGAGATGGATGTTTCTTTCTTTCTTTCTTTTTTTTTTTTTTTTTTTTTTACAGCAAAACAAAACGTAAACTCCGCGAGACTACCTCTGTTTGCGAATCTTCTGATTTCTGCCGTCGAAGGAAGTGGGAGTGCAGGCGCCCGAGGCGTTAGATGAATACGATGGCGGCCTGTACGGTCGTGGGCAACCTTGAATAACGGGCGGTGATGATATTGGTGCATACTGCAACCGGGGGTTAGTTGGTACGCCAGGATGCATCAATCTCATATCCCCTGCGAACGTTGAACAACGACGAAGAATAATTAATTAATTATATCAATTATTAACTACAATAAAATAATATATTAATGTGATATTGTGCAACACATTGCATGAATAATTAATAAATAATTAGTTATAATATGAAATATTAATGAGATAATATAACATTACATATGTTGTAATATTGTTAAAGATTTTCAACGAGAAGCGCAAAAAATTACACAATTGTTATTACCTTGCACGATATGGACACCCTGATACATTGGCAGTGGGTAACGTGGCTGAGATTGTGCGCTTCTATCCCCGCTCCCACCACCGAAGACCTCGTGCGCTGGGGTTGGGGACCGACTTCTCTGGGAGGCGTTGCCTGGCGTTGTCGCCCGAACACCGGGAACGACCTATTGTTTCACAAAAATAGTTTTTCATCAGATGGAATACTAATAATGATGCAATAATGATTGTCGTATTCTTACAGGAACATTCTGTCTGAATACAAGATTGGGAACTAGTGGCGCCATGTACGTGCCGGGCGGGGCCGGAGAGGTGCCGTTGGGAGGTCCGAATGTTCCGCCAGACACAATCGCCTGGGCGGCAGCGTAGCTGCTCGAGTTGACGTACATCAACGGCATACCAGGTATCTGTCAACAATAAAACGTGACGTGTTTTGAAACGTTTTACCATCTAAAGTAAAAAAAAAAAACTCATTTTCATCCTTTACCGATATAATAAAATTACCTGAGTAGACGTTGGCGTGTTGGGTGGCGTAGGTACTCTATACATCACAGGCGGCGGTTGTATCGCCGGCTGTCCCGGCGGAAAATACGTAGGAACCATATGGACCGGAGGTTGATACGTATAATCACCCGGTGTCGGGGTTACTGCCGGCACTGAACTGTAAGGTACCGGATAACTGCCTACGTAATTAGCTAGAACACACATAGACACTGGGATCACACATGGGAAACGAAGAATAAGAGCAAAAGAAACTGCGATTGCAACGTACAATTTGTTTGGCTCGGAGGTGTCATTGTTTGCGCGTTAAAGGAGTAATTGGTCTGCAACCTTTGCTGCCTTTCTCCTGGAGTTTGACCGACGGAAATTGCCGTTCCGGGAGGAGGCACGAAGTACATTGTTTGTGGAGCCTGAAAATATTTCTCTATCACCGCACGGAACACACACCGAGATAACACAAGCAACGAAGTAACAAGTGGACGATGCAACGTATTAAATTTTTTTTTACCGGTATTTGATTCGGTTGTGGTTGCCAATAATTCGGCTGTACCGTCTGAACATTTTGTACCGTGGATGGCGGCGGTTGGGGATACGTGTGAGGGGGCGTGGGATGACTGTCACCGCTGCCACGCTGATCGTAGACGTTCATTCCCATAAAATACCCGGAAAGTTCAGATACATCCTGAACATTGACAAGCATTATTTCATATTCTTGCGAGAGAGATTTGTTACAAACTTGCTTTGAGTACACTTACTCCTGACTGTGGTATTGGTCCTTGAGGCATAGACACCGCGTAATTGGCATAGACCTGATTATGATTGAAGACATCCCCCTGCCCGCCGTTCTGCAAACTCGCTTGACCTTGAGGCGCCATCATCACAGTTGGTTGTCCCATGGGGGGCGGGTAGACACCATGGTTAAATTGTTCTGAGGTAGGTACATAAGTCGCGTACGATTGAGCCGTTTGGTTTGTGTGACTATATGTCTGTGCTGTCGTTGACGATTTGACTAGATTTTGTTGCTGCGGCTGTGACTGCGGTTGCAGTTGTGGCTGCGGCTGCAACTGTTGCTGCGATTGTTGTTGCTGTTGAGGAATAGATGGATTCTGCAAAACTGGAGCAGAAGGTGGCGGCGGCGGCGGCGGTGGCGTGAACGGCAGACTCGGCGAGGTCGCTGTGTTCGTCACTTGAGCTTCACTTGAGGATGTCGCGTTGTCGATCTTCGACTGCGACGATCGCTGCTTCTTGCTGTCGTTTTTGGGATTGCCGTTTGTCGATTTAGGTGGCTCGGGGATTTGTTCCGCGTGTTGTTTAGATGGCACTACATTGCTCTCGTTTTCTATGTTAAAAAACTTTGGCGGATTGTCCGGGTCGTAACGGTAAACCGAGCCGTCCGAGTTTGTGTATGGCCGATTGGTCTGCGGGTTTATAATTATGCTTCCGGGCGGCACGCTAGACAAACTGGTCACTGCCCACATAACGGTCTGGTTCGAATCCGGCGAGGCTAAGTCTTGACTAGATACTTGAGTGTGACTACACGTCATAGCGGCCGGTACGGGCGACGGCGACAGAGATGGCGATATCGTCGCATCACTGCGTTGGCTCTGCGACTTGTAACCGCTGCTCGAGCAACGGCTCGGACTCAAGCGTGAACACATACTGGCTCCCGAATCTGTGACACGAGCGTCACGAGATATATAACGATAAGAAGAAAAGCAACTGTCTATTATGCCACTACGGAACTTTGTATAGCTCGCCATACCTTGTTTCATGAGGCGTGCTCCTGCGCTATGTGTCGACGTAACGCTATCTCCTCTTGACAACATACCCTTGGAATATCCACCGAAGCTGTGTGACTTCAAAACAGACGGGCGCAACACCTCGTGAAACGAATTTTTCATGTCGAAGGACTCGCCCTTTTGAAATCTGGGATTTTGCCTAGAGATGCATAGAATGTTCGTATTCTGAGACAGTAATTGTAATCGAGGAAAATATATTTTTTAAAAATGTTACAAGTTATAACTGTATAATATAAATAATATTAAATAATATAATATTATATTATATAATAATATATATATTAGTAACATAACTAAATATATTAAACAAATGAGATTTTAAATCTTAAATTATACGGTTGAGATGATATACCTGTGATCCGAAGGATGTAGCAGATGCCTCGCGGAAGCGTCCGAACTCTCCTCCGAAGACCAGGCCCAGGCCTCGCTGCTCCCGCTGCTGTCTTTGTTGAATATTCGCCGCCTGGCGCGCTCGTATTCCTCCTCCCGCTCCTCGAAACTCTTGCTACGTCGGCAATAATCGCCCGACATTCTGTCAGGCGATTTAAAAGAATCCTCGAACGAGTTCGAGTCCCGCTTCAAAATGCTTCTTCGAGGCTCTTCCGTCATCAGGATATCGTCTCTGATATAATCCCTGAATCGCGTGTCCGGTATTCGCGTGTTCTTCGTGCGCGTGACGATAACGCTCATACCCGACTGATCCACGTTGTGTTCCATGCCGAAATAAGCCGCCACTCGGTGCACCAGCATTCTGTTGTACGACGACATGCTCGGGAATTTGTAAGAGGCCTTCTGTCGGTCCTTCGCAAACTCAGTCAGATCTTTCTCGATCCTCAACATAACCGAGCGATCCTTCTGATTACGATTGAGCGTCTGCATGATAAATTGTTCCAGATCAATTCCGGTAGAATCCGTGTAGCACATCTCCGTACTGCTGTCTGCAAATGAAAAACGCAACTCTCGTCGCATCAACAAAGAAAACGTGAAATCGATATTAGCGCGTGTGCGATATATTATTTGCTGCGAACGTACCGCGCGAGAGACACGGCGACGCGCTGTCGTAACTGCCCTGGGACGAGTTCTGATGTCTCAGTTTGTGCCTGGATCCGGAATTGGTCACCGAGAGCGTGTTGCCGCATTGCGCCGAGCATTGATTGTTACAGATGTTCAGCGTGTTCGGCCTGCGTTGCTCGGACTTGGACTGATTGTTCTGCGAGCTCGGCGCGAGATTGGTGCTCTTCGGCGAGTGCTGCAACGCCTGACCGGTCTTCGAGGGCGAGATCGGGGTCTGCAGCAGACCGGGTCGCTCGCTCTGATTGTTCTTCACGCAGTTATTGCATTTCTGTACGTTATTCGTGTTCGTGAGCTTGAAACGATTGTTCTCCAACTTATTGCCGTTAGTTGAAGAAGTCTTTGGTGAATGTGTAAGAACCTGAGAGGGACTAGATTGACCTTGAACATCGAAAGTTTCAAGTACTTTGTATTATCAACAACCGACAAACAATATGCGACAAAATTAATAAAAAAAAGAGAGATTCAACTTTTTCGTGATTACCATTTCGTGAAGGTGTCCGACAAGTCGGTGAGGTCGCTGTGCTGCGCATTTGCTTGGGTGATTGAGCGAGACAGAGATTGCTGTTAAATATGGCCTCGTTGTTGTTGAGAATTGCCGCTGACTTGCAGATTGCTTTGATCGAGAAGTCGATCTTCTTCTTCTCGCCGTCCGCCGATTGCGGACTGTGCGGCGACGATGAACCGTTGCCGTGCGGCTCCCGTGGGGGAGACGTCGACTCTTTCATGGCATGGCTTCTGACCAACAGCTTCAATTTTTTTTCGTTTGCCTGCACAACGTCGGAGGATGCTTTACGTTACGGTTCGACTGGCCGCGCGTGTTATCGCAACTAACTATATATACATGACACACGTATCGATTCGTATAAAGTGCAATATGTTAGATACTTTTTTTTTTTTTCTTTTTTTTTTGCTCTCGGTATCACATCCGCTGTACGGACTCGAGAAGAAAGACTTCAACAAAGACTAAATAAGACGTGAAGAGACTCTAACAATCTATTTCCTTTTGTTTAGCTTCTCGCTCTTCGTATCGCGTTCAAAGTGTTTTTCTTTTCAGAAACGTACCTCAAAATGTTTTTTTTTTTTCAACGATCGGATAAAACGACAGTTTATAATCTTAAAGTAAAAATTGACTGATTGCGTCACACACACCCGACTACGAAACTTGCTTTCGGTGTCCGATTTGTCGGACGACGGACAGGAAGGCGCGGGACGGTGCAGCGAGTTCGACGGTGCAGGGGAGGTGCTGAAGTTGGGGTTGGCATTCCCGTCTATCATATCCGACTCCGAGGCGTCCTGGTGAGGTGCACCAGCACCAGAGCCACTTACGGCGAGGCCTTGCCTGGCGGACGGCAGTGAGGGCATTCCACCACCTCGCACCACCACCGTGGGACTCTCAGGTCGGTCTTGCGACCTGCTTCCTTTATACACCACTATGGTTGGTACTGGAATTGTCACATGCGGAAAAATAAATCGCGATTATACTTCCCTTCTCCAGCCGAAAAAAAAACTCAGTACACAGGATGTCCCGCGACGCGGGAAGAGTTTTTTTTTTTTCTCAAGGTTTCACCAGCCTTTCGAGAGTTGCAATTCGAAAAAAAGCGTAAAAGTAATTTACAAAAAAAAAAAAAGTACAGATCGATTCTCGTTTCGACGCGATTTTCTTTTTTGCAACGTAGCTTCTAATAATTAAATCGTTGAATGTTGAACGTGGAAATGCGATATTTTTTTCATCGAGGAGAAACTGCTTTCTCCTAAAAATCGATCTCTCGAGAGAATCCACAAGTGCGACTCTTCGCGGGACATCCTGTATACTAAAAATTGTTGTTGTAACATTGGTGCGTTAATGTGTTTTTGACCGTTCGAGGGTGCGAGGCAAACTAATCTGCGCTGTTGTGAGAAACTTGATGACACCTTCTTGTGTGTGTGTGTGTGTGTGTGTGTGTGTATGTGTTCGTAGCGTGTGCGTTTTATCAAACATCGATAAGAGCAGCAAAAAATTCGATGCACCTTTGCAAAAAACTTGCATCCTTTTTCAACGGTCGCGTAAAAACGAGTGAAACCAGTGTCGCGTTTTTGTCTCTCTCTATACCGTGTGTGTGAGAGATGTGAGTCTCTCTCTCTCTCCGGAACGTGCGTGTGCGTGCGCGCGCGTGTGTGTGTGTGTGTAATGTGCGTTTGTGCACACGTGCGGCAAAGATCGCGACGCGAAAGACCGACAAAACATTTTGCGAGGCGTGTGAAAGAGAATCTCACTTACTCTCCAGGCGGGCCATGTGTTAAATGCGTCATGGGGTTACGCGGTGCGCTACTCTGCAACTGGTGGGTTCGACACACACAGGTGCAACTAGGTTAGTACGTGAATCTTTCGGGTGGCGTGCAGCTCGAAGGGCTGATACTAGGAGCCAGATCACTGCACGTCCACCTTCCGACATCGTACGCTCTGTAAGCAGAGGACACATAACACACCCTCGTGACGCCCCCCACGTCTCGTGCGACAAAATGAATGTAAATGATCGCGCTCTCGATCTCTGGCGTGTGAAGAGATTCTCGTGTGTGGTGTTTTCGTTACCTCTTCACTCCCTTTCCCCCCCATCGATAAAACAATGTTTGCAAATCTCTCCGCCAACCTCGTCGGTTGGGTTTGCGCGCGACCTTAATCGTTTTCGTACTCCGATCGGGGGAGAGAGAGAGAGAGAGAGAAAGGATAATACTATCGGGTTTAACGGAATTTGGTTTCTATTCCTCACCCCGGAGTGAGGGGAGGCCCGAGGCAGAAGAGCAAATAAAAGAAGAAAAAAGACGATATTTTTAAACATTCAACCTGCTCGGCTTACTTCTTTCCCCTCTTTTTTTCTGATATTTTTTTCCAGAATTTAGTTTTAGTCGCGCGCAAAACCGACACATCTGTCTCCTGTGCGAGACAACCTCTTTCTCTCTCTCTCTCTCTCTCTCGCCTGAGAACAATCGCTTCAGTTTCAATTTCGCGCTTAATCCCCCGGCGCAACAACCAGGTGCAAAAAAGAGATGTAAAATTAAAATAAAAAATAAAAAACAGAAAAACAAGCGGCGTAAAAAGCGACATAAATTGTCACGCAAGAGTGACGCGCGCGAGGGATCGTTGGTTATTCAGTAGCGCAGAAGCTACATTGTACAACCGTCCCGTCGCTTCTATGCGATCACAAGCTCGCTGTGATTATTGTTGTAGAGGTAAATGGCGGGCTGTGAATCACGCGCTCTATAGGTCAATGTTACACCGTGAATCATTTGTTCCGCGGCGCGCGCGATAGGAGCTACTTTGGATTATTAAATGGCCGAGTCGTGCCGCGGTTCGTCACCGCGTTGCGCGAACACGAGAGAGTACAAATTAACGCGAGAGCACAAACCCTCCGTTTAATATCCCGGTTCATTCAATTATGACATTATCAACAAAGGTGCGCGCAAACGTCGATAAGCGTTGAACGAAGATGCATTTTCTCGCGGGCGATGTAATTAGACTCTTATTATTTCGTAATAGATCTTCTCCCTTTAATAAATCGCAAGCGAGAGAGCGTAAATATCTCGATAATTAATAAACGAGCGATATACAACGCGACAAATATTGAAACCGAGCGAAACTAAACGGCAGCGGTGATCCGGAGTTAATTTGCGCGCTCTCGATCAAACATTATCGCCTCTTACATTGTTATCGATTGGTTTTGGGGAACGGGAAAAAGATGACGTTAGCGCGAATTAATTTTCGCGCGCGATCGGAAAAGTTCTCCTCCCTCCAAAAAAAAAAGAAAAAAAAAACAAGCGTTAAATTCGACAGAAATTTTCAGATTCGTTCTTTTTCCTCCAATTTTTACAACGGGAACAATTAAAATTCGATGACGCGTTTATACTTCGCGAATTATTCGTGTAATAATTGCATTAATTAAATTCAAGAGAAATCTCTCTCTCTCTTTCTCTCCGTGTGTTCGTTTGTCTGCGATTTGCAACTGAAATTAATTGAAGCTCGATATGCTAATTGCAATGAGAAGCCTGTGTGATCAATGAATCAGATTCGCGGTAGAAGATACGGCGTTGGGAAAAAGTTGGGAGACCAAAGTCGATCGAGTTCGTGAAGTCTCGTTCGTGAACCAAAGCTAAAAAGCGAATAAGAGGATAAAAGCGACTTTTATATTTCGTCGGTTCTCTTCTGATGTTCAACGAACCTCCAATTGACTTCGGTGATCCTCATAGCGGCTTCTAATTGCGCGACGGCGCGAGTGGTCATCGCGCGTTTAAATTTAAACCGGAAATGCGACTACGGCGCGCGTTCCGCGTTTATATATGCGGTGTAAAACTCTCTCGTGCGCTCTCTCGTCCTCCGCGCGCGCTTCTGCCGCATTCCTGTCGCGACGCGAAGATAAATTTATCCTCCATTCTCGACACGCTCGTCGCGAATCGTTTTCGATCGCCGCCGATTGCCCGCCGCGGCTCGCATTTCTCTCCGTTTTCTCGTTTTTTCTTTCTCTCTCTCTCTCTCTCTCTTCTGTCTTTTTCCCCTCTCGTGTTTCCCGGACGCTTCTCTTTTCCAATGCCGTGTCGGTTATTTTTTTTTGTTTTGTTTTGTTTTGTTTCGTTCCTCCTCGTGTCACACGACGCGGGAAACGACTCTCTTCTGCATTCAACGGTTACATATCGATCACCGGCGCGTTCCTTTTATTTTCTCTTTCCACTGTCGATCATCCTCATCCCCGGCGTAACGTTCGAAGCTTCGCTCGCCCGATGAATTCGCGCAAACTTTTTTCTCTTCGCGAAACAAACATCCACCCGCGCGCGCGTTCTTCTTCTCTTACGTTACAACAAGCGAACGGGCAGGATAATCGGCGCGAAATCCTCTTTTCATTCTAACGAGCGTAAATTGTATTTGCCAAACGCAATCGGATTTGTGTAATTCTTTACGTAGATTCCCGTTCTCTCTCTCTCTCTCTCACACTCTTTCACGGTCTTTTATCTTCTTGCGTGTGCGTAAAGTGATTTTCGCGAGAGACGTTATCGGTCGGCCGCGTGCGTTTTACAGCCGATAAACACGGTCGGCTTCTCCTCGTAAAAGCGAAGCTCGATCGGATCTAAGGGGGAATAGATTTCTCGTCTCTCTCTCTCTCTCTCTCTCTCTCTGTCTCTCCTCACCTTTTCTCTCGTTCGACGCGTCGTCGTTTGTGTTCGGCCTATCGCCCGCAACGATAGAAGAATTCCCGAGGGTCGTCTCGCGCCCTCGTGAAAAGAGAAAAAAAACGCGAGAGATATATCGTCGCGTAACGAAAATTATGAATGAAGAACGTGACGAAAATCCTTCACCGGAGGGGAGGGGGGGGAGAAAGAAGGAAAACGCACACGCGACACAATTGCGAAGAGGCACTCTCTCTGTCGCGACACACGAAGCGAAGAAGAGGCGTAAAGAACGGCTGGCGATTTGTTTGTTGGTTTTCGGCGAAACGTTCGATTTTCCGTGACAGTTTGTCACCTAGCGCTGTGATAAATCGCGCACATGACTGGCGTGTGTGTGTGTGTGTGTGTGTGTGTTGCGGAAACAGAGATTAATTAACCAGATAACGGGAATTCTCTCAATTGTCGTTGAAACAATCCGGATCACAGATCCGGGATTATCGACGAACCAAAAATGCGAGAGCGATTACATTGCAATCTCGCCGCTAATCGCTCGCGGTACGTAATTCGTCACACTCGTTGATTCACAAGGAATTAATTTACGTTGACATAGGTCGATGCGCGACCCGCGACACATGCGAACGCGGAAAACGACGCCTGACGACGCGTAAAATACCTCCGGCTTTCGGATTTGCGAAAACGAGCGGAAATGTGAATCGCCGCGCGCGACCTTCCGGCCGCGATTCTCGCCGCTCGTTTTTCACGGAGGCCAACACACGCTTTGGCAAGGCTTCGCGGCGTCTCGAAAATAGCAGAGAACACTCGTCTCTCTCTCTCTCTCTCTCTCTCTCTCTCTCTCTCTCTCTATCTATCTATCTATTTATCTATCTATCTCTCTCTTCCTTCTCTTCTTTCCTCTCTCGCACTTTTTTTACAATCGCGCGCGCGGGATAACTCGTGGCACTCGCCACACGATTTTCTCCTCCTCTCTCTCTGTCTGTGCGTGTATGTTCCCGCACACGCTGGAGTGTCTCGGAGGAGAAGAGATGCGACTCCCGGGGATGCAACACCGAGAGAAGAGAACAACAAGAACGAGGCGAGGAGGGGCAATCGTCGCGAACGAGAGCAATCAGCGATTCGGCGAAGGCGACCTGGGGACCAGCTGCGATCCACAAACGTCACCGCGGAACCGCTTTTCGCGAGAGACTGAGAGAGGCGCGCGCGACGCGCGACTCACCCGGGTCGAAAAAGAGCGGCGAGGGGTCAGGTGGCACACACACCGGAGGGAACGAGAAAGAGAGAGAGAGAGAGAGAGCGTATGTTGCGAAGCCAACGGCAGAGAGAGGGAGACGTGCAGATCGGTTGCGAGTGTGAGAGAGAAAGAGAAAGAGAGAGAGAGAGAGAGAGAGAGAGGAGACGATTTCACTCGATACCGAGGCGGAACGTCCGCGTCCGTCGGAGCGACGGAGACGGAGCGATCCGATAACACAGCGGAGGGAGGGAAGAGGAGGGCGGCGAGGGGGATGAAGACGGAGACGCCGCTATCGGTGAGAGGCGCCGCGGAAGGAGACGCGAGAACAAAGTAAAGAGGAAAGACGGCGCGCGATCGAGATGACTAGAAGGAGACGGCGGAGAACGCGCGCGGAGATAGGTGATAACGACATGGGAGAGATAAGAGAGACGGAGTGGAGGAAGGACGGTAATGAGTGCACGCGTGCGCGTGTTTCGTGTGTATTCGAAGAGAGAGAGAGAGAGAGAGAGAGAGAGATGTGTGGGACGTATAACGAGAGAAAAGCCGCTGCTGGCTTAAGGGAAAACCGCGTTGTGTCGATTCCGAGATGGGTTTCTCGCGCGACCCTGGTAAGGTTATTATATTACGACGAGAGAAATGTAAACGTCCGCGCCGCCCCATGCGAACGTTGTCACTACTTATCGCGCGGGATTGTCTCTGCTTTGTGGCGGAGAACAGATTTTTTTCCAGAATTCTCCTTTTCCCGCGTCTCGGGAAAATTAAAAGAGAACCATTTTGTCAATTTTCATCAATTTTCGATACCTCTAACAAATGTTAAATATCACTCGCGGAGACAGCGAGCCGATAGTGCTGATAAACGTTCGGTTCAACTTTTTGTCTCTTGGTTTTTTTTTTTTTTTTTTTTTTTTTACAATTAAGTGTACGCGGGGGCAATTTTTCGCTGTAGCTTTTTTCTTCGTTTCGAAACAAAACAATCGGAGTTCTGAAAACAAGAAAAAAAACCCGACCATCTGAATAGCCGACCGACTGTTTCCAGGTCAGTGCCGGACTTACAAATCTCCCACGGGATATTACGATCTCTCCGGTCCGGTTTTAAACCCCGCGTGGGAAACGGTCGTTCGGATTTTCCGAGCTCTCTCTCTCTCTCTCTCTCTCTCTCGCAACGAACGGGAGAGAAAAACGAAACGGAGAAATCAATTTAAAAAAGAAAAACCAAAGAAAAAGAGAATCCCATGCAAATGAATAAAACAAAAAAAAAGAGAGAGAGAGAGCGAAACGAAATTGACGTTCGTCAATTTTTGTTTCTTTATTTTCGAAGTCCTGTTCCTCCGACAATAGAACTCCGCGGCACGCGCGCGGAGAGGACACACACGCGTCTCTCGCGTTCTTGATCGTCAAACGGCGGCGGGAGAAAACGGAAACAACAAAAACTTTTCTGTCCCACATTCGCGGTGAGTTTGTGCCGTTCCCCGTGAACTAGCGCGGGCGGCACGCGTGAGGCATGTGCGCGCGCACGTGCAACCGAGTGCGAATGGTGTCTATGACCCATATAACACGCCCAAGCGTAACTAGGTCGTGCACCCTTGTAGTCCCTGGAATAATACAGGGTGACCCGCGCGCAAAAATTACGCCGAATATCGATTCGAAGATATGGCGCGCGAAATTTCCATTTTATGCGCTTGCGTGTGTGTGTGTGTGTGTGTGTGTGCGTGTATCAAAACTATTTCGTCCCCAATGATATTGCGAGAGAAACAAAGAGCGACGTCGAACGAGGTTGAACGAAACGAAATGTAAAAAAACTCAATTTGACGTCATTAAAGAAAATATTCGACATCGGTAAAAACAAACTCGAAACTTTCGGCGAGACATCGAATGAAAATCATAAGCGAGATTCAAGTTGCGCGGGCTCCGTTATCGAAGATACAGAAATCGAATATAAAGGACATATTGTTTCCCCTCCCCTCCCAGAGGAGGGGTGGTTGATTTTATCAGGATGCGGAGCGGAGAAAGCAAAGTCGGTTTACCGACGACAATATCCTGGATTCCTCCCGCGCAAATATTCTTCCCCCTCGTCCGCTCCTGAAAACTTCCAGTGATATAAATCGATCGCAGGCGAGACCGACGCGTCCGCTCAAAGAAAGAGAAAGGAAGAGAGAAAAGAAGAAAGAGAGAGAGAGAAGATCGGGATTTGATTCCCCGTCCGTCTGTCGCAGCAGGCTAAGTTCGTGATTAATTAGATAACGGATATAAAATTCCGCCGTCGTCCGATTAGCAGAGTCGCCGGGATATTCGACTCTCTCGGAGTCTTCGTTCAACACGCCTACGTGAGATCCCGCTCGGCAACTTGCGATGAGGAAAACTTAGCATCATCAAATTCATTCTCTCAACTCGTCGAGAGACGAGATAAGAGAAAAATCGAAATTCCAAATTGCGACAAATTCAAATCAGCGGAATATCAAACAACAATGTTTTTTTTTGTGCGCGATCGCTCTCGCTATATTTAGCCACCGTCTGTCATAATTTACTCTATTTGCGCCACTATCTGCTACAACGTCACATATATTTGCTACCGCAAACGTATCGTGACACCAATCACGGTAATGGAGCCGCACAGTCGTCGCATTGACCACACTTCTGACTCCGAAACGTCTCCATACACGCGGGTAAACCCCCCCGAGGTAGATTCGGCCCCGATTCGGCGGCACCTAATTCCGAGGTCCAACCCAATTTCACCCGCCCTTCTCCCCGGTCCCCGCGAGTGGGACGACCTGGGTGAGAAGGTATGGGAAGCAGGCAGGCAGGAGAGTCTGCTACAGACGTGGATACAGCAGGAGGATGTTATCCGCAGGAGGAGGGAATTATATACGGGATGAGAGAGAACGCGAGAGAATGAGAGAGAGAGAGAGAGAGAGAAGGTCAGAGGCCGTCCTGCGCGCACACAGGCAGGCACAGAGAGAAAGAGAGAGAGAGAGAGAGAGGGTGCGCTCCGTTCAGTTTTAGCGATATACCTAGTGCCAGTCCGATGCACCCCTTGTCGCCATGGAAACGACCTACTCTCCCTGGACGGACGCGCATCAGGCACCCTCGCGCAAGAGTTAAACATTCGAAATAAGGATATCCGCTCAAACGCTCTTTCGACGACTTCATCTCCGCTTTTTCCGACTCCCGAGATTTGGCTCTTCATCACAATCCCCTCCCTCCTCCCCTTTCCTTCTCCGTGCGTTCAACCAGCCCCACCGGCTATTTGCGAAAATAAATTCTCCCCGAGATATAGACAGTCGCGGGGAGTGAAATTGACCGAGTTCTGATCCGATTAAATCCGGATGATCGTCTTCACGTGACTCCGTGAATTTTGCGAGCTGAGAGAAAACAAAATTTGTTTTGTCACCATTCGAATTTCATGACGCGCGAGTTGCAAAAATATGTCAGAAGCGACGATGTTGTACAATGATGGCTTGTAAATTGACGCGAGCGATCTACCTATTCAGCGACAGCTGCGTCTCGGCATTGTGTCTGTTCAAAAAAGATTTTACGCGCGCGATGTCGTCACGCGCTTCAGACATTCCGCGGCGACGGGATCGATGTGTATGAGCGCGATTTTGATTCACGGTTATCCGATTAACAACAGTGCGTCTCTCGCACACACCCACCACTGCCAAACACGTGGTCCGCGCCGCGTGACAAAATCCGCGAGATCCGTTCGCGATGACTCCGCGCGCGAAGAATTCTTCGAGGATGTTCTTCCGCGCGAAAAGAGGGAAACGCGCGGATCGAAGCGAAGCGACTCAAACGGAGCTACGTCCGCGTTCAATAAGTTTTAAGTTCGCGAGAGTTCGCAACTAAGAGACTTCTCGCGGAAAGTCCGGATTCCGAATCTCGGTCGAGATGTCTTTTTCGCACAGAAAGACAATCTTTTTTTTTTGGATTTTTTAAATTTCACAGGTGATTTTTATATTGGGGATGCGAATCCGAGTTCCGGACGAATCTTCGAAATCGATTCGAGTTTCCAAGCGCATTTAATTAATTTACATGTTTAAAAATATATTCGCACGTTCTCGTCGGGCACATTGGCTCGTACTGACCTTAAACTATACCGCTGATTTTATTCAGGTTACCCGATATGGCGCTCGACCTGGGTACTCTCTTATCGTCGAGCTCTGGGTTGCTGAACTCCGTGACCCATATATCGGCAAATAGGTCAGAGAACAAACGACGAAGACGGGGACGGAGGGAGAACGTTCAACTTCCGCGTGCGGTCGCTTTTATACGGGGGAGAGTCCGCTTCCGGGTTTATGGAGGAAACTTCATCTATCTCGCGCGCGCTCGTAAAATCCGAAAAGACCCTTCAAACGCGCTAATTCGAGCGACGTGCGTTTTTTTTTTTTTTTTTTTTTTTTACCTCCCGCCCGGGATTTCCCGTCCGTCGAATTACGACGAAAACGGGAGTGAAATCAGGCGGAAAAAAAATGTGCGGATTGTGAAAAAAATCTGCCGATTCTCTGTCGGAATTTTTACCGATCGCAGAACGGTCTCGCGTACGTCGGTATTGTATTTTTCTACGGGGCGAGAAGATTAAAACGGAGAAGAACTTTGCGCGCGTCGTTCCGA